ATCGATCCAGCCGGTGATGAGGCATCGATGGTTCTCTTCGTTCGGACAGCCAGCGCGGACTCATCGTTCTCTTCTTCTTCTTCTTCATCTTCATCGCTTAGACGCAGAACGCATTCCACGGTCAAAGGAATAACATTCTTGTTCGGTTTACGAGCCGTCCTCTTCTTCGGTTTTGGATATTCGGGAACCGAGGCTCTCTTCCTTTTATTTTCCTTCACCGGCTTTGGGACAGAGGTCGAAATTTTCTCCTCAGTGGATAAGGGCCTCAAGACCGCGTCTTTACCCAAACCTGCATATGGGAAACCTAATAAACATATTTTAAAAACCGCCTCATTCGGATCATCAGAGTCCGAGAAATGTGCTTACCGTGATATTTGGCCTCCCACCGACCCTTTGACAAATCACACCATGAGCGCTCGGCGTATGTGGAGGTCGAAACAAGGGCTCGTACCCAGTTCATGAGATCGGGAACTACTCCGGGCATCCAGGGAACAGCTACATCATGAGAAAAAAAAGAAGAAGAGGAGGAGTGTCGATAAGAGAATAAATAAAAGAACAAAATAGAAGCAACGGCAAGATCACACTTACGTTTCATATTCCACTCCTCGGGAAAGGGCATCTTTTCAGTCGGAATCAGGTCCGAAGTCCTTATTCGAACGAACCTGCCCATCCAACCCCGGTCCCTGTCCTCATCAATACTTGAGAACAGAGCCTTGGTAGCCTGACACTGGAGTTTTATTAACCCTCCTTGAAAAAGTCGAGGACAGTACAATCGGATAAGATGATCGAGGGTGAACGACATCCCCTCGATTTTGCTCACAAAATATCGGATCAGGATAATGATCTGCCACAAAGAAGGATGGACCTGGCCTAGGGTTACCTAATATTGTCGACAGAAGTCAATAATGACGGAATCGAGGAGACCCAAAGTGAAAGGGTAAGTATACACATTCAAAAACCCTTTCATGTAAGAAGTGATATCTTCATAAAGAGTAGGAATTATTATTTCTTTTTCACCCCAATTGCAATCCTTCTTTAGCTGATCGAGGTGCTTCTCGGTTATCGAACACATATACCTCGATACCGGCTCACACCGGCTAGGGACCGATGAACCTTTATCGACCTTAAAATCTGAAGTAAGGACACACGCCCCGGGAACACACTACTCAAGCCGTGGTTCTGCCGGTGTCTCGTCGGCGGCACACTGTGAAGATGAAGCTTTCTCTTTCTGAGGAATGGTTTGCGATATTTTGTCCATTTTCGAATTCAAAGGTGAGGAATAGAAGAAAGTGACAAAGATTTGGTAGAATTGAAAAGGGGTTTTTTGCGGAAAGAAATCACAGATTTACTAGTAAGTTGGAGAGTACGAAGAAGAACTAAGGGAAATTTGGAAGATAGAAGATGTAAAAGTGGTAAAAGATAAAAGAAAGGGTTATTTATAGGTTCAAGCGATGGCGGTTTAGTATCAGCAGTGGACGACCACCGCCTGGCATGCATTAAATGCCTTGAAAGACTAAACCGACGGGACAACTACCAGATGCGTCATGGTCGAACCCGATGGAAACAGGATATAATCCGATCGAGCTATAAAAAAAAAAAAAAAATCATATCGTTTCTCGCCACATTCTTTCTGAGAAACGAGGGGACTATCTGTATACGGTCGAAATAGATTTCGGCCTTAGCACGTCCGATCGAGTTCGAACGATGATTTATCGGAGTAAGATCCCGAAGGTGGAACGAACTAACCTCGAACCCGGAAGGCTGATCCGTGTCGAGTTCGATATCATTATCAAGCTCGAATCAAAATCGAACCATGATGCGAAGTAGATATATCGTTCTGATAATTCAGAGACCAACCAACATTGACCTCGAATCAATTTGAGGGATCGAACCAGGATTGGGCTCGAACCAAGGTCACGAGTTCGAGCCGAAATCAAGCCCTAACCAAAATCGAGGGTTCTAAGCAGGATCGAGCTCGCAGACAAAAGCCGTTGCAATCCCACTAGAGAGAATCTTGGCAGAGATTATGGAAAAGCTGACTTATCATGGGTCTCCCACTGAATGTTTATTTTATTATGCTTAGAGCCAAATCCCTCCACTATAAAAGGGCTTGGTTACCATTTCTGTAGGACAAGTTTTTTTTCAGGCTTACATTGTAATAAAAGTGTTATATTCTTCTACAGTAAAGAATCGTTTCTTTCAGATTTCTTAGATTAATTCTATTTGTTGAATCCTAAGATTCATGGTTCCTGATAACCTTATCTATTTTGCATTCTCCCCAATTTATATTTATATTTTTATTTATCCTTACATTTTGTGTTAAGTTACGCCACATATCCTCGGAACTGCGTATATATTCAACTCTATCCATTTTTTGGGTAAACAATATGTCTTGATGTTTTAAACTGAAAAACTGAATTTCATGATAAAATATTCTAAAATTCTGAATTAAATGCTGAACTTCAAGATACTGTGAGTTTTGAACTAAAAAGAACTTCGGGATAAAGTGGCTAGAAGTTTTGAATTGAAAAACTAAACTTTACCCTGAAAATTGAACCTTGTCCTAAAGTTCGAGGAAGCGAGAAGAAGTAGCATCTGCCCCCTTTTTTCATGTTATGGCTAATCACTAAATAATTAGGAAACGCGGGTAAAATTTAAATAGCAGTCAGTAAAAGTGGTTACCTGGTAATATTTGATATTTCCTCATTTTTGGGGGTCTTTTTCAGTCCGTTTGGGTAGTTTAAATATGCCGCTGAAGGGGTTTACATATTTGGATTAGAATAGTTCTCCAAAAACAGCAAATATTCGATTTTTACTACTAAACTTTGCTTTTGCAAATTAAACCAATTTTATTAATCAAAAATCATAATTGTTACTCAGTTGATTAGTTGAGGCGTATTCAAAGACTTGGTCTTCGGGTCAAGTAAGTTGATTCTTCGGCTAATTTGACTTGACTTAATTTTTGTTATTAACCCATTCACAATTGATTAATGAGTAATTCTAGAGTTACTCTTATAAATATTCTTTTGTTTTATAGCATTGCTCTCGCTAAGCTGCTTATAAAACAAAAGTACTCCAACTGTACAAGTAAAAGGAAATTTCTACAAGTGCAAACCACTAAAAATAGTCGACACCATTCACAAGTATCTTAATTATCCACCCCAGGCATAGAATACTTTTTTTTAACACTGCGGAAAAGGAAAGAAAAACCAACACTAACCTTTGTTTCTTTAAATAATAAAACTTTAATTATGTCAAAATTGGACCACTAGTATTGGTAGGTCACTGGTCTTTCTCATTGACTAGAATTCTGCTGAGATTAATTTATACCATAATTGTGGTACTATTCTATCTTATATTGAGGATGGAATAATAATTTTTGGTATTAACGAAAAATACCCTTTTTCAAGGCTTGTTTCTCTAAGTTCAGTAAAAGATCCATTGTTTGAATTGAAACTAAAGTTTATCTCAACTTATCTAGCATACATCAAACACATATTTTATATTATACTTTGTATATTTTATTTTTTATCCCATAAACGAACCATCTCTAAATAAAAATATATTGATTAAATAATTTTATTTCTACTTAATTTTTTCATTATAATCTCAACATTATAATTCCCTATTATAACTTGTTCCGCAGTCAAACGACCCAAAAGGGTTCATAGCTAGGGACTCTTGAGTGGAGTGTTTGAAGGCCAAACAGGAAAAAAGGCCAAATCCTTTATGAGATTGAGACTTTTGAACAGCTAAAGTTGTTGGACATATATCACTCTCTTCTTAGGGCCATCAAAATCTTTCACAGACTGTTCATCTCTTTGTTCTCCCACCTTGTTGCTTACAATAATAGAGCATCTAAAAAGATAACTGAAAGAAAAAATAGACACTGAAAAGAAAAAAGAAGAATTTAATAAATGGAGGATTATTGTAGAGGTGTTCTTCTTTCTATTTTGGGTAGTAGTAGCTTCAAATATTTCAATAAATAGAAGTTAATAATACTTTAAATTGAGAAACAGAGAAAACATCAGCAATTTCTTTTTAACCATGTCTCTATTGTTAGCCCAAAAGAAATAGGAATTGTAGAAGAAATTAGTATATATACGCAGACATAAAAGAAAGATTACCGGAAATTAAAAGGAAAGTAAATATCACATGTATACACTCCAGCGGGAGCTCTTCGTAATTAAGACAAGACAAAAGTACTAATAAAAGTTGTGGTAGAGCGGTAAGTATTCCTTTACTTTTAATCAGAGGTCTCGAGATTGTTAGGGAATGTTTATCTCCTAATGTGTAACTTTCTGACGCCAATTCAAATTTAATCGAATTTCAATACAAATATTAAATACCGATTCAGAAATTAAAAAAAAAAAAGAAAAAAAAAAAGAAGACAATACAAAAGTAGTAAAAGGAAGAGGTCCAATTAGATGGTAAGAGACCTCTTTTGACCTTATCATCACTAGAAGTGTTCAATTGTGTGTGTAACTACTCAAAAATCTTTTATCTTTACATGTGATGCAAATACAAAATCATCCAAATGATATGATGCAATTCACTTTAGATATTTGAATCAAGAAAGAAAATTTTAGAAAGATCCAAATAACCAGACGTAAACCAAGACACTCGAGACACTATCATCATCCATATCTTTTTACACTAACTTCATCACCGATTTTTGTCCCCTTTTTCTGCAAAATCAAGAAATGGAAACTCCTCTTTCCATACATATAAAATACACAATTTCTAATCATTAACCCCCAAAAAAAAAAGCAAAAGAAAGAAAATATGTTGATCAATACAACAAGAATTTAATCTTAACATTTTACATAAATAAAAACACTACGTAACTTTTTGCTATCTGTCTAAGTCTTGATCGTCAGAGGTATTCAACACATGTAGATCCTGGTGAGAGATAGTTATACTCGATGAAATAGTTAAAATGTGAACAAACGAATTCAAACGTTACTATTAAAAAAACAAATTTACATAGAAAAGCTAACTTAATGGAGAAACAAAGTGACAAACAAGGAAAGCAGTGGAACAATAGAGATGATGATCAAGGTTCTTGATTCTTGAATAGAGACTGATGAAGAGTACTGATCTCCATAATTAGGACGGTTTTTATAACGATATGGCCACCAAGGCAAGATAGGATCAGGTGGTGGAGGTACTACACCATTTACAAAGTTAGGTGGAGAGTTATAATATGGGAAATTAGAACCACCTGCTGCTGGATTGTTATTATAAGTTGCTGGAGGTGGAAAATAATTAGAACCTTGTGAATATGGAGGAGTTAGAGCTACCGGAGGGTTGTTTCCGGGACCGGTTGGCGGCGGATAACATGGATAAGGGCACTCTTGGCCGGAGGTTCTTGCCGTGAAGTTGAGAACTAGTGGGAAGAAGAGTAGGAGTGAGAGTAGTTTGGGGAGTTTAGGAGCCATGTTGTAAGTAGAAAGAAAACAAATAATGGAAATTAAGAAGAAAAAAAGGGTAGAAAAGAAAAGAAGAGAAGAGAGGTTTTGTGTTTGGGGGTGGTAGGGGCTCTAACAGGATGTAAACCTTTGAGGGTGTTTTTGAAAGCTCAAAAAGAGGTATGAAAAGAAAAGTTATGCAACAAACATAAGAGCAACACTTTTGAGGTTACTTAGGGTTTTCTAGGCGTGATTAGAATTTTGAGTTTATAGTTTGAATTATACCTGTCAAATGGATTGGGTCGACCCACGAACCAGCCTGCATAATCCATTAAAATTAACTTTTTAATTGGTCCATGACCCAAAAAATTCTAATCGGACCAACTCATTAATTTAATGAGTCTGGGCCAGACTATAATATTTTGACCCACTGAACCGGACTGGACCCGAACCTGTAGCTAACCCACGGGTCAACCGGCCCAGACCAGCTAATATATATATATATATTCAGACAAGTGGTAAAAATTAAATCCAAATATTGAAAAAAGGATATAGTACCATATACTATGAGGCGTCTTGTCGAAATATTCGAATTCCATATGTTTTGGACTATAAGTTATAGAAATAGTCGAATTCCATATGTATCTCAAGTTTTAATGTTAATAAAGTAAGATTTTTCTTTCATTTTTATTCTAACTAGCTTCAAGGATACGTAGTAATTTCAAGTTCGTATATATATATATATATATA